GCTGGCCTAGAACTATGTAGACCAGGCTGGCCTTGAACACAGTTATGTTTTTCTCCATGGTATGTTGTAGATGCAACAAAAGAGTATGTCACACATTCACACAGAACATCTGTGGACGATCACCATGGATGTTGCTGCATGAACTTCCTGGGGAGTCTGTTTCCAGTCACCTCAGACAGACACAGTGACAAACAGACTGCAGAAAAGATTCCATCCACGTCCAGCCTGGAGAACCAGTCACCTTACTGGGGTCACTCAGGAGCACGGGTGACTGGGCAGGAGCATCACTGAGAAGCCCACCCCAGCCTGAGTGTCCACTCAAGACAGTGCTTCATTAGAGCACCCCCCACCCCAGCTTGTAGGCAGCTCTCCCTTAGGAATTGTTTATGTGACAGCTTACTGCTTACGCAACCCCAGGATGGGCCTTGTGAGCTTCCTGAGTCTCCTGGATTTCTTGTATTTGATGAACATTAACATCCCTTAGATCTAGGAAGGAGTGTCTTAACCAAAAGGAGAATTTCACTCACCAACTCCATTTTCTAGGCATCTACCTTTATTAATGCAACCTCAGGCAAATACTGGTCTGTGGCAGCTGAGCACAAGTTGCTGTCACACTGAGGTCGGTCACCCGAGCTTTTCCCACAGCCCTGCCCTCCCTCTCCTGTCTTCATTCTGAACTTGACTGATTGATCTATTTTCTACCTAAATATACACCTACACTGGACACTGTATGTAAAACCTGAGCTGCCATTGGAGCAGCATCAAGATTCCCAGAGTGATGGGGGATGAGGGGGAGGTGAGCAGAGAACACAGTTCCAACAGGACCTGATCCAACGAGACACTGCGCATCCGTCCTCTCTGCTGATCCCACTGTTCCATAAAGATTACGGAAAGGAGAGAAACTCAGGAGACAGCCGTGGAAGGGGGGAGGGAGCTCAGGGGTCTGACATTCATCTCCTCAATCCATAGTTTCCCGGGTGCAGGACCTTTTGTGTCTGGTGGGGACAACGACAGGAAAACCACCTCCGATTGCTGTCATACTCAGGGACCCCAAAGGACAGTGAGAGCAGCAGCATCTGCAGGAACAAGAACAGGCCTCGTCCTCCACAGAAACCAAGGGACAAGAAACACATGGAGGATGGGGCTGAGGCTACACCAGGCTCGAGCCAGGCTGACGTGGACACAGGAGCCCTTGCTGCCCCTCATCCTAGAGACAGGACAAGGCTCTGGCCATGAATCTGTTCCTGTGATCACACACTCTGTCAGCATGTGGTCCTACTAAGTGACAAGGACAAAAGAGCCCAGGAGGTGACAGAGCTGAGGAGTGACCACGTCAAAGTCCACGATGGACTGAGCTCCAGCTTGGCACAGCCCTGTCCACACTGGGCTCCCACAGCCTCCTCCTGTCCCTCCTGACACACAGGATAGAAACACAGATTCTAGAAGATTCTCAAGGCTGTCATTTATTTTCTCCACCAAACTTCAGCAATTTTTCTCAGTTAATTAAATCACAGACCTCTTAGTCAAGGATTTGAATATCAACTTCATGTTCAGATTCTTACTTTCAGTGGGAAGTAAGAAGCTGCAGCTCAGTGCAGCATGGAGCTGACAGGATGGAGACGTCCCCGCCCCCCTGTGCTGGAACAGGAAGTCTGGCTGTGGAAGGGAACACAGGACAGAGCAGGGACAGGGCTGGGCTGATCTCCCCAGGTCTTCACACTGCACACAGGAGAAAGCAGACATCTTCAGACACTGCCACCAAAGACAATCCAGTGGTTCTTGAAGTCAGAGAAGAGACTTGAACACATCTCCTGTCCCTCAGTCCCACAGGGCAGCTGTCTCAAGCTGAAGAACAAGGGTCATGAAAAGTCTATAAAGACACCACCACCAACACCCACCACTCACTCAAATGTCCGAATTCTGAGAGTCCCTGTGACCCAGTCCTGTCCCCTTTGCCCACCCCCAATCCAGGGCCTCAGGTGTCACCTTCACAAGCCTCAGGAGAGAGGTCAGAGCTCTGGGAAGTGTCACTTCCTGCAGAGAAGAAATAAGACACAGAGCCAGGGAGGATGTGTTGGAGGAGGAATTATGGGCTGGCTGACTCCCCATGGGATCCATCTCCACCCCAAGGGCCTCAGGGATCCTCCCTCTCTCCACACTGACCTGGAGCCTGAGCATAGCTCCCTCCTTCTCCACCTGTGAGAAGAAAATCTGTAAGACCAGGGAAGTCCTGAACCCCAGGGATGTTCCAGAACTGTGACAGCAGGTCCAGGGAAGGGTCAGGAGGTGTGAGGACAGGGGGTGCAGGGACTGAACAACTGTCTGTCCTCACAGGGACCTTCTCCTCTGACCTCTGAAAATCAGGTCCCCGTGTCCCCAGTCCTCAGGGTGATGACTCTGTCCTTCACTTTCCATGTGCTTTACAGAGCAGTGTCAACACAGACCAGTCAGGAAAGTTTGTGTGTGGGCGGGGCTTCCCATTAATGAGGGAGAGACACTTCTAGTAGAAGAGAGAAAACCCAGACCCTGCCTCTCCCTACCTGTGTTCCTCCTCTTCCTCCTCACAACAGCCACCACAGCTCCTATGACCACAGCTCCAAGGAGAACCAGGCCAACCACGATTGCCAAGATGGGGATGGTGGGCTGAGGAGGCTCTGGGAAGGGAAGGGAAGGTGAGGGCCTGATCCCAGCTCTCAGCCCTGACCCTGCTCAGGGTCTCCAGAAGGCTCCTGCTTTCCCTGACAGCAGGCTCTGTGCCCACACCCCTCCTTACCCCATCTCAGGGTGAGGGGCTCAGGCAGCCCCTCATGCTGCACATGGCATGTGTATCTCTGCTCCTCTCCAGAAGGCACCACCACAGCTGCCCACTTCTGGAAGGTTCCATCCCCTGCAGGCCTGGTCTCCACAAGCTCCATGTCCTGGGTCAGGTCCTCCCCATCCTTCTGCCAGGTCAGGGTGATGTCAGCAGGGTAGAAGCCCAGGGCCCAGCACCTCAGGGTGATGTCCCCTTCATGTCTGGGGTGATGGGTCACATGTGTCCTTGGGTGATCTGAGAAGAGTTGGAAAACTTCAGACATTTTGCATTGTTCCTGGGGACTCCAGTGGTCATGTGACCATCTTGGGAATGGTTAGGAGAAGTAGGGTGCGGAGGGGTCCATACCCCAAACCCAAGTCACAGGCATCTGGATAATTTATTCATTGGAAAGTTCTAGAGTCCTTGTGAGGCAGTCCAGGCTCTAGATTATAGCCTCTGGTCCTGACTGGGTGAGGACCGAAGGATTCAGTATCACTGGAGTCAGACCTCCAGTGAACAGAGAACCTCCCCTGAGAGAGGCCATGGTTCAGTGGGCTGCAGATGGAAGGGAACTGCTGGTTGGTTATTTCAGGATCTTCTCTCCTATCCTGAGACTCTGAACTTAGAGAAGGGTGAGCCCTGGAGTCACTCTCTGATGCTGGACCAGGAAACTCAGAAACACTGAGTTTCTCGTGCTGTTGCAGAACAGAGAGGCACAAGTCCAGCTCATCCTATTTTCCTCCCTCCTCAGAGACGTGAGCCCCAGTCCCAGGCAGATGGAGGATTTTCCCGTGGCCCCTCTTACGTGCGCGCTGCAGAGTCTCCTTCCTGTCCTCCAGGTATTTGAGGAGCCACTGCACGCAAGTCCCGTCCAGGTAGGCCCTGTATTGCCCTGCCACATCAGCCTGCTCCCACTTCCTCCTGGTGATCTGAGCCGCCATGTCCGCCGCAATCCAGGAGCGCAGGTCGTAGTTCAGAGTGATGTAATCTTTGCCGTCGTAGGCGAACTGAATGTACCCGCGGAGGAAGCGTCCGTGGGAATTCACATCACAGCCAGACATCCTCTGGAAGGTGTGAGAACCTGGCCCCGCCCCCGCGGTCAGCCCCGCCCACCAGGCCCCGCCCACCCGAACGACCACAAGGGAAATCGAAACCCAGTCAATTCCCGCGGCTCTTCCGGGTCGAGGGTCCCCGCGGATCCCACAGCCTCGGCGGAACTTTGAACCTGGGGACCCGGGGCGACTCTGGGCGTTCGTGGGGATGTGGGGGGTCGTGACCTCCGACCCGGGGTCACTCACCGTCCTCGCTCTGGTTGTAGTAACCGCGCAGGTTCCTCAGGCTCGCACTATAAGTCTCTGCACTTCCCTTGGCGATCCGCGTCTGCCGCTCCCAGTACTCCGGCCCCTCCTGCTCCATCCACGGCGCCCGCGGCTCCATCCTCGGATTCTCCGCGTCGCTGTCGAAGCGCACGAACTGCGTGTCGTCCACGTAGCCGACGGAGATGAACCGGGGCTCCCCGAGGCCGGGCCGGGACACGGCGGTGTGGAAATACCGCATGGAGTGCGAGCCTGGGGGAAGATAGGGGTGAGACCCCGGACAGGGGCGCGGGGCTCGGGTGGACACGGAGCGGGGCGGGGCCGCCCGGCTGGGCCGTTTCCCTCCCGACCCCGCACTCACCCCCGCGGGTCTGGGTCAGGGCCAGGGCGGCGGTGAGCAGCGGGAGGAGGGTGCGCGGCGCCATCGCCCCCATTCTAGAGACTCAGGAACAGTCCCAGTCGGGCGGGTCTGCGTGGACTAGTAAGCGGTGACCGCGGAGACGCTGATTGGCTTCTGTAGGAGCCCGACACCCAATGGGAGTGAGAACTGTGACGCGTCATCAGTGTCCGGGAAGAAGGGCCTGACACAGGTTAGGATGGAGAAGTGAAACTCCGGTGGATGGGAACCCCCACCTCTGGCTTCCCCACCTCAGAGCGCTGCTTGTCACGTGGTCTCCCTGAGTCCTGCCCTGAGACTGTCTGCAGTCCAGGAGAGACCCTGAGACTGGGCTGATTTCCGTCTCCTCCCCCCTCCCCAAGACGCCGCTCTGGAAGCCACTTTGCCATCTGGGCCTTGATCCAGCCTCTTTCTTCTTTGTCTACCTCCAGAGGATCTTTCTGATGTTCTAGAGTCTAGGAAACGCCTTTCCCAAGAGTTCTCCTCTGTAAACAGCTTTTACTCCCCACACATTTGTGCAAGGGAAACCCAGTGGTTTGTGGCGTAAGTTCAGTTAAGACTGCCTATTGCCTTGCTGGGGGTTTGCGGAAATCCTGGCCCGGAGGGGCGGAGCTCAACTGGGCCCTGTGGGGCGGGGCGGAGTGACTCCTGATTGGTGCTGCTTGGGGGCCCAACTAAGAGCCCAGCTCCTTCTAGGGAAATCTAAAACTTGGTTTTCAAGGCCAGCTGAGGGGCAGGTGGCACGGTTGGGTATGGGACAGTCTCCGGTCCTGATGCTCTCGGTGGGAATGGCCTTTTCAGGACACTTGGGTGTCTCCGCTGGTGAGTGGGATCCTCGAGATCCTTTGAGCCCGATGGGGGTGTAGCGGGGGTGGGGAATAGGTGGTTGTTGGGCGTGTCCTCGGTTGGAAAGAGAGAAAAGAATCTCTGATTTCAGTGCTTTACGGTGAATGTCCGGTGAATGTCCGCTCGGCCTGCGTGGCTCCACGGTGCTGACTGTGGTCGAGTGAGGGGTGCTGGGGAGGAAGGACCAGATAGCTTTGGGGTTCCAGGTCCCTTCCCATATCACCCACCCTGGTGTCAGGCCTCACCCGGCTCTCCTCACCCCCTGTGTGCACCTCTTCATCAAGCCTCTCCGAGGCTAGGCTGTTTTGCACCACATTCAGGCACTCTTGGAGGTCTGCTCCTCCGGGCCCACTTCTCCCTGAGTGGGGGACAGTCCTCAAGCGCTGAAGACTCTAGCCAGTTCTCAGCTCTGCCCAGACAAGCCTCAGGGCCTGGAGTTCAGTTTGCTGCCTTCCTGCCTGTCTTCAGGGAGGAGAGCCAGGCCCAGAAGCCTTTCCTCTAGCTCTGGAGACTCTGGGTGCTGCAGACAGCCCCACCGAGGGAGCTGGAGTCTGACGACTTCTGCACCAGCAGATTCTGGCGACTTCCACCGGGACCCCTGTGCCCTGGGGTTCACTCCTCTCCAGATCCCCTGCACCCTGTGATTGCTAAGGTGCTAATGAAGCTCTTCTCTCCAGATCTCTCAGGCCTCTTCCTGGCCTCAGCCACTGTCCCTCAGCCTGTCCCTTCTTGTCCTCATTTCTAGGGTCGCTGAGGCTCCATTTTCCCCTCCCTGAGCCTGTGCTGCCCTGCAGCCTCCTCACCTGCCTTTGCTCCTTCCTTCCCCCCTCCACCCAGGTCCCCTGGAACTGGAGTTATGGGCATTTGTCAGATGCCATATGGGTGCTGGGAACTGAATCCAGGTCCTCTACAAGAGCAGCCAGTGTTCTCGACCACTGAGCCATCTCTCCAGCCTGAAATTCTAAAAATAATTTACTTGCTATTTGTGTGTGTGTGTACACAGTGTATGGGTGCCATAAACAATGTGCGTAGGGATATCTGAGGATATCTTTGTGGGGTGAGCTCTCTCCTTCCACCTTTACCTGGGTTCTAGGGGTTGGAATCATGTCCCTCATCAGGCTTGAAGAGGAAGCACCTTCCTCTACCCGCTGAGTCATCACACCAACCTTGTTTCTTTATTTGATTTCTTTTGAGATTTATTTATGTGTATGTATATGGATCTGTGTGTGTGTGTGTGCGTGTGTGTGTGCATACATGCACACCCTGTGCTGTGCCCAAGGATGTCAGGAGAGGGCATGTGGAGCTTTAGTCACAGGTGATCGTGAGCCACTTGTGGCGGG